GTGGGCACGTACACGGTGTGTGCATGACGTGCGTACGTGTGCACGTGCGTGGCGTGCGTGGCGTATGCACGTTACATGTGCGTGCTGCTGCGTCATTGTGCACGTACACGTGCGTGCCGCGCGGTCGTGGGGCACATTACACGTCGGGTGCGTGCGGTGCGTGCGTGTACAGTACACGTGCGCGCGTGCATTGGGTGTCGCACGTGCTGCACGAACCCATAACACGTGCGGCCGTTGCCGTGGGTGGCGATGGTGCACGTTTACACGTGCGTGCGGTGCGTGGTGCCACCGTACACGTGCGTGCGTGCGTAGTGCACGTTACATGTTGGCGTGGCGTGTGCCCGTACGGTGCTTTGTGCGTGCGGCACGATACAGCGTCGTGGTGCGTGGCGTGCTGTTGCGTGCGTGCGTGTGGCACGTACACGTTGCTGTGCGGGCGTGCGTGCGTGTGCACTGTTACACGTGCGCTGCGTGCGGTGGGTTGCGTGTGCACTGTACACGTGCTGTGCAGTGCGTTGTGCAGTACACGTCGTGCGTCGATATGCACGCTACATGCTGCGTGCGTGTGCCCGTACGTGCGTGCGTGGGCACGTACACGTGTGTGCGTGCGTGCGTGCGTGTGCACGTACACGTGCGTGCGGGCGTGCGTGCGTGCGCGCGTGCGTGGGTGCGCACGTCCGTGCGTGTGTGCGCGCATGTCCACGTACACGTGCGTGTGTGCGTGTCCACGTACACGTGCGTGTGTGCGTGCGTGTGCACTTTCATCACCTCTTTTGATCGCCACACACTATGTCAATCTCAGTTCTGGGTCACTTGGGAAACAAGACCGCCTTACATTGAGCCGCCGTTGATTGCCGTGTTACATTGAGGTACAACACAGTAATCAGGCATCGCAAAAGCAACTATAAAAGCCTATTCACGGAAGTAATGTATACCGGTCCAGACATCTTGCGGTGAACTGATTGGCTAACCCCATTATACGACTTTCATGCTGCTGCTGTGCTGCCTCGATATGACGCGAAAAACTAGCATATATATATATATATATCTAATTAATTTATTAGAAAATTCCCGATCGGCTCAACCGAAGTTATTACGAATGGCGACTGAGATAATTAACTGCCTTCATGTTTCCGCTCTACGTTTTAATTTGGCGTTCTAAGGGCAGTGTATCTCATCGGACCATCGAACACTGCTGAGTTAATTATACATAGGCAGCTGCGGTCAAGTTCTCGTGTTTCATGTTTGCGAGCGCGACGGCGCGGCTAGTGTTTACCCTTTAGGTGATGTACAACAGTAGATGGCGTATAACGTAGCAGGCCTGAATAATGTTTCATCGCATACACAACATACATTGTATTCAGGTTAAATAACTACAGATTCAAGCTTTATATTTCGCTCGAAACTTTTGCCAGCTCTATGACGCGTATTTCTCAAAAGTATTCGAATCCCGTTTCATACACAAAAATGGCAGTCGGTGACTATGGCTTTGACACTTGCTGGAATGGCACAATTACATGACAAGACCAATCGTGTAATTCTAATGCTTTCTAGACGTCCACGAAGCATCTAACTTGCGTGCACAGTGCAAATTAGTGCACTCTAGTGCCGAATTTGCCACACAAAAAATCGAAAAAAAGCTTTTTCTAGGCACCAAATAGTCCAGAATTTGCGGAAGGTTTCTGTTGTATGCCCCCTTTAGTGACATCGTACTGGACTTACGGACCGATTGAAGCTGTTATACAAAATGTTATGTTGCTTTACATACACATAAGCAAACATAGAAGTCACGTGTTGTAGCGAACAAATTAAACTAGGCCTACTGGCCGGGCCAACTTGATATGTAAGTACAGAAGCTAAGGCATATAATTGTGCACTTTTTGACAGTATTGCATAGTATGTGAGGAACGATACCTAGCATGTAGGCCTATCATGGAACCATCTCCACAAGTAACAATTAAGCGTTTATGCCTTGCGTTTAATTGAATACCGCTGTATAATTATGTAGCACTCCGCTGATACTTGCGCGTGTATAAAGTTTGCATTAAAAATTCTTACATGTACATTCATTTTTCGAATAAATAATAAATAAACAGTTTATTTTACGCGCTTAGGGTTGATCAGAGCCAGCAAGGTACCTAATTTAATAATACCTTGCTGCCTCTGATCAAACCCAAGGAGCTAAATATAACATGTAATATGTTATATTTAGCTCCTTGATCAAACCTTGCGGGCAGTGGTTTCTCGTGCACTTATCTGGGACAAATACATAACATATCGAATGTCAAAGATCTTACCGCTACCGCACATCCTACAACTGAATTTGTTATTTTACCTCTACAAATACGTTCTACTCCTTGATAATTGTGTCTACTCTTTCAATAAATGTTATTGAATTTATCAAACATTTAGACAATAATGGCGACAGTGGCGTTTGTTCGGCAACGCCGAAAAGGATCATTATGTAAAAAGGTTCACATCAACTCGCCGGCCCATGTAGAATACTTCACATAAAAAGGCGTGAGTAATGTAACAGTTTCTACATTAGCTAGCAAAAGCGCGCCTATTTTGAAATACTGACGTTGTTGCGCATGTGCGAGATTCAGTATTTCACATACTGGCGGACGGATTAACTGCTAAATCACATCACCCTACAATGTGTCGAGAGCCCGTAGATAGAACATTACATTCCGCCGAGCACTGTAAAGCAGCTAATCTATATAGGGTACCATCTATTAACTAACGTAAAAGCTTGGGTTACTCACATACATGGAACTCCACAACGGATCCCCGCTCTTGCCTGACATATATAGATCTATAGATATATAGTAGTGATAGACATTACATGACGGCCGAGCACTTGTAAAGCATGTGATCTGATATAGGAGTAAATCTCATACTAACGTAAAGCTTGGGTTCTCAGCATAGGGAACCCACACGGATCGCTCTTCATGACTATGTAGACTCTATAGATATGATAGATAGTAATATAGTAGATAGACGATTACATCCGTCCGAACACTTGTAACGCACAGTAGCATCTATATAGTGGTAATTTACTAGCGTAAAAGCTTTGCGGTTCATCAGCGTCATGGGAACCCACACGATCGCTGTTTGCTTTTGACTGACTGACGCTCCTGTCATTTCCCTTGTCTAGCCGATGCTTCTCATACGCACAATTGAACGCCTCCACGCCTGCACGACCAGGGAGTAGGACCGCAATTACGATCTGAATTAGCAGGTGCGCGGCCATGCAAGCTGGTTGCGGCAT